GTTCTGCGTTCCGCGACCAGGACTCTGCGAGGTGTGCGCGACACTCGCGAACACTTTGTGAACGCTTTGCGAAGGCTTGCCAACACAAACGCAAAGACTTCTGGTCACCTCTCGGAACCCTGGACCGGAACCTGAAAACGGGAACCCTTCTGGGAAGCATTCGGGAAACTGCATTTTGGTCTATTTTGGGGAGTTTTGGGCTAGTATCTTACCAACTTCTGGGGTCCAGGTACTATCACTGTAGTCAAGGACATAAACAAAACAGCCTCTCAGCAGCCCTACTCATGACGGTGCAAGCCACTGTGTGCGACGATTTCGTTCATTGATCAGCAATAAGCACTCCTCTTTGGGCAAGCCCCTTGTTGGGGCCCAGTGCTTCGTGCACTTTTCATCAGCCCATTGCCAAAAGCCATCCTGGGGGGCTGGCACCCTGCCACCATTTGGATTTTCGATATCCTCCACTCCCCGGAGCACCTCGAAAGGGATGACGAGATCGCTGGCCATCTTGTTCCTCACGTAATCATATCGGTGGGAGCACACCTCAACGTTGCCAAAGGAAGTGCTAGGAGTGTCCTTCCTACCGCTCGCACAGGGCTCGTAGATCATGCACTTGTGGCAGCGTGTTCTCAAGGTCTTCTCCGCATCGCACTTGGCATTGTTGCCCCTTTCCTTGCCTGGGCAGGAAGGCTGCGCCGTATTGCCACGTTGGACCTGGGCCGTCGCTGTTCCCTGGGTGGAAACCTTGGTTCTGGATATGTTGGATGCGTTGGACGCGTTTCCACGGAAGCTCTTGCCAGACCTCCAGGAGCTGATGTCCACCGGAACGGTGACCTTCACTGACGCTACGCTGTCCCCGTCGTGATCGTCCAAACCATCCTGGACTTCAATAGAAAGGTTTTATAGGGATCTATTCCGGGGTATAGAGTGATCTATTGGGTTATATAGGGATGTACTGTGGTCATGGCCATAAAGGGCTATATGTGATTATATAGTAACTTAGTAACTTCAAGAAACATGTGCACATCAATTCAGGACCCAGCGGCCAAAGATGAGGCCGGGATGACGAAGCTGCCGAGCTTGTCGTCCAGGCGCAAGGAGTCCTGTGATACTGTTGTTGTCGAGCGAGATGATATTTAGGGCTTAGGGTTTCAAAAGAAATGTGTTTGGGATCCTTATTGTAGCCTGCAACCAATAACCAAAACAAAGATCAAGCAAGCACCGGCATCCTCATCCCAGATCTCGCATACGATGTCCTCGCCCTCCTCCCAGTCCGACAACCATCCGGAGTTGCCAGAGTACCTGTAGATGATAGGCTGTGAAGCATGAAGAAGCTCAATGCAGAGCCTGGTGCGCTCAAGTTAAACAGGCTTCCCCAAACAACTACCATATGGAACGTTGAAGCCCTTCCGAAAGTCTGTAAGCTGAGGTAAGGAACATATTAGGAGGTTTCCCTAAATGGTGGCCTACAGGTACACCACAATATCATAAATGCTCCCGACCATACTACCTCAACAAACGGGACTCCTGATTCCCAGAAACCTCCATATTTCTGAGATCGTAGTTTCTCAAAAAAGGGCGCCTAAATGTGGACCCCAAATTGATATAACCCTTTTAAACTACTGGGATCCCTACACAAAGTACCTGTAATTGTAGGAAACCCCCATATCGCATGCAGGTGCCAGGTTGGGCTGGTTCCGCCATCATCCAGGGCCTGCGTCTGGAAGTAGCTATCGCCATCCTCATCCTCGCAGGTAACGTAGGGGTCAATCTGCCCAATTGGCCAGTCGGTGTTGGGTAAGTTGGTGGCGCTCTCCATCGTGACAGTGAGGCCTTCCTCATAATCCTCCAGCAGCTCGTCTTCTGGGTTGTAGCACTCATCGTGGTCCGTCGGGTTCCAGTCCACGAGGCATCGCCGGCGTCTTTCCACGTTGCTGCAGTAGCCGAGCCGGCGCCGCCGGCGCATCACTGTGCTGCAGCAGTCTTGGATGTTTCCGGTCAACATGCCGTTGAGGTCTGTCCCGGCGGTCTCAACGATGTTGTCAAAAGAGCCTGCGAAGTACTTCATGGCATCCATGCACTCATCCGTCAAAGCGATGCTGTCTCCCAGCGTGTCCGTTGGCTGGCAGACTCGCTCAACGACGCGGTCAAAGAGAGGCTCAACGAATTCCTTCGCAAGCAGGCCCAGGGTCGCTGCCATTGGCAGGTCCCAAAGCACTCCTGGGATCGCTGCGGCCACGCCGGCCGTGACCGCTGCACCAAAGCCTATGCTGCCAATGTCGGCATAGGCGTCGCAGATGTTGTCAGCGATGTCGAAGATGCCTTCGCAGAGCCAGGTGGTGAAGAAGCAAATTGAGAAGCAGTCTCCACCTGTGCCACTCATCAATGGAATGCTTGGGCTGGTCAAACACTCTTGCATCTCCTCCGGCTCCATCTCGAAATCAAAGGGAAGGATGTCCCCAGGCGTGAACAGTCTCCTCCAGGCAGCAACCCTCAAGCTCGAACCCCGGAATGTTCTGCCCAATCCTTGAGGAACCAGGGTCCTCAACGCCTGCGATGCTCAGATTCAAAAGACCCTCAAACTCACACACCCCAAAATCCCAAGCACCCTCTCTTCGACTCTATCTATACTTGATAGAGTCAGGGAGAATCAGAAAAATCCAAAGAATTCCAGGGACCCAGAATACCTAGAGTATCTATAGGATGCTGACGCTGTTGAAGGGGACTCCTACTGTGGGGAATGCCCACATCTACTGTTGATACTGGACAGCCTGCATGGCCTTGCCTAATACATGGGTGGTTGTCAAAA